ACAATAGAAAGAGCAATGGTCCGAGGTTGGAGCCCTGCGGGATACCTGAAGTTGCACAAAAATAATCGGAGTAGTAACCCCTGAAAACAACCCGCTGTGGTCTATTATATAAATATGACTCAAAAAAAGCCACCAGATTGTCATGAAAACCAAACTCATTGCACAGCTTTTATAGGTTTTTTACGTTATATTTAGGATGACGTCATAGAACAAAAAGAGACAATGTTGTCAATGCCTATTTTTTTTCTTATAATTTATCAGAATGTCACATGACAGTAGACCTATCTATTTTACCAAACAAAGAGGTAATAATACGAAAACTTCATTAGATAAAAAAAAAAACACAGAACGCTCATTGCGCAAGACGAGGCAAAATGTACCAAATTTTGTTAAACTTATGCATGGCAATCCGTCCTCCTTATTTGCACGGGATAAAAAGAGAAGAAGAAAAACCGCGTGTTGTGCAACGTATTTATCAATGAACATTTCGAACTACTTTTGAGGGTCACTTGTCAAGTAACGTCAAGTTGAATATCAACCGTACTTTTTTTTTTTGTCAGACCACGAGCAATGAACAAGGACAAGGAGATGTCCAGCGTGCAAAACGAAAACTTCACACCTGTACTAGTTAGCTAATAGAAAGACTTGCTTCATGTTGCGCGCGCATACCAGGTAAAAATAGATAGGTCTTTTCTGTCAAACGAAACGGAAAATAGGTAATTTACTTACATGCCTCACAGCAGTAAGAAGCAAAAATGGTCGCGTTCCTGCTGGAAATACGTTATTAAGTATACTACCCTTTCCTGAGGCCGACTCCGACAAACCTGCAGGCATTTTCTGAGTAAGTACGAAAAAGTACTGAATTCTTGAAAGAACTTTTTTCTAACTGTAACGTATTTTTGGCACTTAATTAGGATTATACAAAATAGTTAATAATAAATTATCAAGACGACTGACAGCTAAAAATAACGAAATAAATCGACACGCATTATTTGAAAATGTTTATATAAATCATGCAACGTCGCGCGCCGTTGCCAACCAAAAACATCTGATATTGCCCTACTTTAAATGCGTTGAAAAGTACTTTTAGTTTTGTTCGATTGGCAGCAGAAATTTACTAAATGTGACGTCATCCTAAATATAACGTAAAAAGCCTATATATAAGGATGCTATGCGATATTCTGTCAAAAGCCTTGGCAAAATCTGTGTATATTACGTCGACCTGGCATCTTCCATCAAGGCTCTCAGCAATATACTGAGTCATCTCACACAAATTACTAGCCGTAGATTGCTTACTTAAGAAACCATGTTGTCTGGCTGATATCTTGTTTTTTACAAAATTGTATATAAACTTATATAAGATGGACTCAAATATTTTCGCCGGGCACGACAACAGTGATATAGGCCTATAATTTTTCACATCCGTGCTATCACCTTTTTTAAATATAGGACAAATCCTTGCCTCTTTCCATGCTTGAGGAAAAGTGTTTGTTTTCAGTGAAAGATTGAACAAAATCCTAAGTGGCTCTGCCAAAAAACCGATCATTCCCTTAAAAACAAATGATGGCACATTATCCGGACCAACTGCTTTGTTAACTTTAAGGCTCCTGACAGCATCACAAACATCCTCATATTCGATTTGGTCCAAACACAAAGCATCAAAAACCTGACAGTCATCCAGTGCATCATGAATGTCAGAGTGTTCAGGATCGTTGGCATAGACTGAACTGAAATATGCAGCAAACGCATTTGATATTGATTTACCATCAACAAGTTGCAAATTATTTAGATGCATTGTGTTAGGTATACCAACAACACTCTTTTTGTTATTCACATATCGCCAAAATGACCTTGAATCCTGGCTGATGTCTTGCTGAACTTCAATCAAATAATCTTTGTGTGCTTTCTTTATGTCGTTTTTTATCTTGTTTCTTAATTGAATAAATTGATTATATGTTTCTATATTTTTTGTCCTCTTAATCTTAGTTCTCAACTTCTCTTTACTCTTTATATCTTTAATAATATGTTTTGTAAAGTATACAGAATATATCTTTGAGCAATTTTATCTTTTTGGAACACAAATGTCAAAAATATTATATATTTTATCATAGAAATGCTTAACAGCCATATTGACATCATCAAGAGATTCCAGGTCATTCCAGGAAGCATTGTGAAACAATTGGTACATAGCGTCGAAATCAGCTTTCCTGAAGTTGTAATTTTGGGAGTGACTATTCCCATTCCCTGTCAAATTTCTTTGTCTAGGGGTTTTAAACTCAATTTCTATCATAAGTGGAGGATGGTGTGTATCAATGTCAACAAAACTGAAAGTACTTTCATATACTATTAATAACAACAACATCAAGTAAGCGGTTATTACCATTTAGTACCCGATTCATCTGGTGGCAATCAAAAAATTGGAGAAAATTCAGGAACATATTTATCTGTTGATCCCTGAAGTTACCCAAATAATAATCGTTCAAGTGACTAATATTAAGATCTCCCACCAATATGATTTTTTTCTGGTAAATACATTCTTGATTTTCAATATATGAGAATAGATACTCTCTCTCTAATAGACCACAACTAGTTGAAATATAAACCACCAATATATAAATGAAGTTAACATCATCTACAAAGACTTTAGCCCCTAACAAATCTATGCATGGCACATCAAAATCTAAATTCAATTTACAAGTTTTGTAGGTTTTTTTGACTGCCAGTAAGACACCACCACCACGCATATTATCTTCCCTGTTTCGACATTTAAAAATGGTAAAGGACCCTGGGAACAATTCACTATCATACACACTGTTAGTCAACCATGTTTCGCTTAGAGCAATTGCATCATATTCATTTTCAGTTAATATCACTGAATGAAAAAAGTCCACTGTTTTACTATTAAGTCCACGCACATTTTGATACACAACAGTGAAAGCTATTTCTTCTTCGGTAGAAACCTTATCATCATTAACTGCGCTCAGTTGCCCATTATCGTTCACCTCTCTGCTAAAAAATTTTTTGGGGTCAAGTAATTTGTTTGTTGCTGAAGTCTTCTGATTCTTTGCATATATACAGGACACGACGAATTTCGGGCGGAATGATTGCCTTGGGGTAAGTTTGACCTCTTACAATTAGGACAATTAAGAGCATCTGCAGAACACTGACTACTATTATGGACACCACCACATTTATGACAACAATCATCGGCCGAGCAGTGTTTGGCAACATGGCCAAATAAACAACACTTAAAACACATTGCTACATTTGTATACTCCTGGACATATGCAGGGCAGAAGTCGAATATCAGGTTATTATTTCTAATGAGCCACTTAAATAAAGCCGGAGGAGTCTGAAATATCCAATTTTCTTTTGCGCTGTTTCTGCAGTCTTTTTTTGTCACATATTTGAACTGGTTCTGTACATTTTCACCAAAGGTGTCTAGAATATCAGGATTATCAGCAACAAATTCATTATTGAATGTTCCTGGTGAATGTCCTTTAAAAACTCCAGTTATCTTTATCATTGGATCTAAATTAAAAATATTTTTAACCGACACATTTTTGTTAGCATTTTCAAGGGTTTCTTTCAACTTTTTCTGTTGAGACGCATCTTGACATTCTATTATGACACTTCCACTCTGTAAAGGTTTGATTCTTTTAAAATGTCCATCAACATTATTTGCTTTAAGATTTTTTTTAATCTCACGCATAACGATTCTAGAATCATTATTTTCTTTAAGCCTAACAATTGTTTCATGCTTCAGGTTTCGCGGCGGAGGAGACTTCCATTCAGTTACTTTTGCGCTTGTTGTGGGATTGTTTCCCGCAGGTGCACTTCTTACTACATCGCTATATGATGTTTGAGATAGTTGGGGTCGAGGTTGGGGTGAATGAAAATTGCTATTCCGGAAAGCGTTTTTGTCAGATGTTAATTCTGTGATTTTATTTTTGAGTTCCAAGTTTGTTTTCTCCGTTTGGCCTATTTTAAATGCTAAGTTTGTTACATGTTTATGTACTGTAAACAAATCAGAACTGGTGTTTTTGGCTTCGTTTTGTGGAATCAGTTCTATGTATTCTCTGGAGGGCATCTAGTATTTCGTTTAGAATTATTTCTGTGTTGTTCGGGACATAATGTTCATATGTACCGACTTCTGCATTGTTACTTGTAACAGGTTCTAAATAATCCAAATTGGGCTTTCTTATTTTGTTTCTGTTTTCCATTGCTGCAGGACTTGAACCAGATCTTGTTCTTTTCTGAGAGCTTGTATTGGAAAGTTCTTGTTCTACTACCTCATGTTCATCATTGTTAGCCTCATTTTGCTGCTCATTGTATGTTTCAATATTCTGGGGTGGTGTGCGTGAAAAACAATTTTTTGGTTTAAAGATCGAGTCATCATCTTCCAAATTAGAGTCAAGCATGCTAAAACTCTCCTTAGACGCACCAACACATTTTTATCATGCTGCAGCTTAGAATCCCAAACTGATTATAAAAAATGCTTGAAGAATCTATTGTGATACTCTCACCTGTTCTCACATAATATAAGGAAACTGGAGACTTTTATATAAATACTTTTTTTTTGTATTGGTAGGGATGCTTTGTGATGGATGACAGCTGCAGATCTTTTTTTCTAATCTTATGTTGATTTTGATTTGTTTAAGGAAGTGTGATGTGTTATATTAGGTATATATTAGTTGTAAATGGTTTGCTGTAGAAAGATAAATAAATAAATAAAATAAGACCTTTATATGAATAAGAAAAAAAAAATCCTTATTTGGGAAATACCAATGGAAATACTAACCTACAGTGAAGGATTTTTTGCATTCTGATAAGTTTTTTTTTTTTTTTAAATCTGTCCTAGCAAACTTATATCATATCTCTTCAACTTTGATTTAGGAAAAGTGAATATAATTAGGAAAAATAATAAATGATCTTATGGCAATTTTTTGTGAATATTGGAACAATTTGTTAAAACTTTTCCTATTATTGAAGAAAAATACCTTATTGCATATATCTCGCAAATTTTTCTCAAACTCATCAGTCTTTTTTAAATCGCTCTCCAAATATTGAGCCACTGCCTTATTATGAACAACTTTAAAATCGTTCGGTCGGACAGTTTCAAGTTTGTTGATGCTTTGAAGGCACAAAGAGTAGTTTTTCCTTAAAGAAAAATTATTATTTCAATATTAATTGATATCATAAAAACATGTTTCTACTTTTTGAATTCTGCTGTGGCGTTTTGAGCCAAATCTCGCTCCGAATCTGATACTATTTCAGGGGGCTTTTCTTGCGGTTCCTTCTCTGACATGACGATTGGAATTTATACACTAGGTAGATTTAAATTTAAGAAAAAGATAGGATGAGGAATGTTACTGACTCAAAATGAACTTTTAACGTATTTTTTCTCGAAATAGAAATCAAATATTTTGCCACCACTGTTTATTTTTTAATTTCAACTTAACCTAAGAAAAATGCCAAATGTCAATTTTTGAATGGGAAAAAAATAGCGATTTCTTTTCCAAAAAAATTTCTGACTGCTCTATAAAATCAGAATCGATTCAGAATAAATTAAAGTTGTACCACCTCGAACACTGAAATGTAACTAAACATTCGAAGTTCAGTGAATAGTTTCAGTTGCTAATTCGAATAGTTCAGTTCTGAATCCTTACTCTGGTTGTAATACGCCATCCAGAGCTGCGTTTTTTGAGTCCGGGTGAATCGCTCTTTTTGAGCGACGCGTTTTTTTCAGTAGAGCACTTGGATTCAAAAAAGCGTTTTTTTTTTTAGGATACTCTGAGCGAATCGCTACGGAGCTTGTAAAAAAACAACTCAACTCAGAAGAAGGATAGAGAAAAATATCGGTGGTTTCCGTGATTTCACAATAGTTGTATTCCTTTCCTTTCCAGAGTTTGGAACACTAGAGCTACTCGCTCCGGTGTTAGTCGACCCCGATTGGAAAGGAACAGACGCGCTGGCTTTCGTGCATTTAATGAGTTCAGGTTTGAGCACTTCAGGTGCAACAAACACTTTCTGAGGCCTTATTCTTGACTTTCTCTCGAGAGAAAATTTGACTGTGTTGACAGTTAAACAGTGCATTAACTGTTAACAATAGGCGATTTCGGCAAGCTTTGGTACATGGTTTGGTACCCTGTTTGGTCTGTCAAATGCATACCAACCAATTTCGAATACGAAAATGATGTCGTCACCATGACTTTGGTATCCTTTTTGGTCTGTCAAATAGGATACCGTGGTCAGCAGCACGGTTCTTCTATTTGGTATAGTGCTATCTACGTCTATTTTCGTTTTGTCCTGCTCTGGGAAATGTAAATAAATGGAAGTTCATTATAATTTGATTAATTTGAAATTTTTAACAAATATGTTTGTTTTTTTCGTTTTCACTTCGTGTTTTCTCGTATATTTTGACTGCCAATGTTTGACGATCATTTGAAAAATGGCTTTGAACGACAGATATGGGGTAACTTTTTTGCTGAATGGATTATGGAATAAGGAATAAGCTTTAAATTTACAGAAAACGCTGAGTTAGCCAATAGGTTACTCAAAGGTACTGTCTAGACAGTGCTGATTAGTGATTATAGATTTAAGTCAGTGCAGTCAGTATCTAGTGGCTCCCGAAACTAGAAGAACAACACAAAGTTAGGTTAAGGCTCGTCTCTTCCCCTCTCTCATGACCTACCAAACGAATTCGGAACAAAATGGTATCTTACGTCATTACTATGACGTTGCAGATACCAATTGGTTAACCAAATGGTATACCAACCAAAGCTTGCCGAAATCGCCTAATGTCAAATTTTCTACCTAGATAAAGTCAAGAATAAAGCTTCTGGAAGGAAAGCGCGTAAGCTCCTCCTAGGTGTGAAAGGAATACAACTTTTGCAAATACGTTCGCAATCGGTTTTCTGCTTGTTCGCTCTTTCCATTCTGAGTACTCCGTAATCACTCGGACTGTTCGAACATGGCTTTTTGGTAAATAGAGTAACTATTTTAGGTTACGTAATGTGAAACAGAATCGGTACAGTTCGAACAAAGTCAGAGCCATAGAACAGAGGGAGAGTAGGTCGCACTGTCAGACCGTTTAGGTAGCTCGAACACTGTCCGAAATATTCAAATATGCATTGAAAAATAACAAAAACAACTTACAAATTTTGCGCCAGACAAGCTAACTTGAATAAAGATGTTTCTTAATAATTTGTTTTTTTACTACTAACCTGAGAAGTAGTCATTATTCCATCAATTTTTCTGGGAAAAAATTGAATTTCTCTCCCTAGGTTAATAATGAAAAAATACCTAGGTCAATAATGAAAATGACGTCATGACGCAAAGATATTGTCATAACTTAACAAGTTTCTATTGGTTTAATTTCAATTTCAAACTGTCAGTTTTAAAAAAAGCAGGTTCCTGTATGTACATTATAGGAAATTACCGTAAGCTGTTGATAGAGGGCAGTACTTTCGACAAGAGAAAATAATTTGAGCACAGGTTTCAAACCTATTTTTTATTTTCTACAGTAGTAGTAAAAAAAATTCTATATATCCCTCGGTAAAGAAAGTCATTATATACCTTACGCATTATAAAACTCGGCGCTTCGCTGATAAAAGCGCTCGGTATTTGAATTTCTCTCTCTAGGTTAATAATGAAAAAATACCTAGGTTAATAATGAAAATGACGTCATAACGCAAGGATATTGTCATGTTTTTATTGGTTTTCAATTTCATACGTCAAATTTTAAAAAAAATACAGATTTCTGTAGGTACATAGGAAGTTATCATAAGCTGTTGATAGAGGGCACCACTTTCAAGGGGGCGTTCAAAAAAAAAATATATGGAGCAGATTACAAATTATTCATTTTCCACTAGCAGTAGTAAGAAAAAATCTATATATTTCTCGGTAGAGAAAGTCATTATATACCTCACGCATCACGCATTATAAACCTCAACTATTTTAGGGGAGCCCTAACGATAAGTATTCCCTAAAATGACATTTTTACATGGAGAAATGTCAGTTTAAGCGTTGATATTCTATAGAGATTTATGCAATTTTGTGTTAATATATTTTTGTTTTTGGTATTTATGCCTGTTATTGACTATTTTGTGATAAAAAGTTAGAACAGAAAGAAAAGAAAAAACAAATACACTATTGACTGAGTTTGACAAAACATGGCAGGTGGGCGGAGCTTAGGCGCTAGTGCCTCCACTGTCTTGTATAAAGGCACTGTAGCCGGGACCATTAGAAAGGGTTGAAAAGGAAACAACCAATCAAATACCTTGACGATACATAAACCCCGGAAAGGGACGGGGCTCAACTAACCAATTGAATGCCCTGCTGATATCACTCGCATCTGATTGGAAAGGGGCGGGGCTTATATCCAACCTATCAATTGCTTTGTTGATATCTTTGCGTTTGATAACGAGTCAGCCACAGTGTTGCCAGCTTGACGGAATTATCCCCTTTTTGCCTTTTTAGGCGGTTACACACGGACGTGGATTTCTGAAAACATGCACGTACATACATGAACGCGCAAACAAAAATGTCAATATGTTTGCAAAATACCGTCGCGTTTTTGAATGTATAAACTGTAGAATGACGCTCAAATGAATTCTGGAATCGCTAGTAATTTTAGTATGCACACTCGGAATACTGTAGCAAGAGTAGCAAGACTGACAGTTTTGTGCGAGTGTCTGTACAAGGGTGACGTGCATGTTGTTGTTTGCACGTTGATGTATGCACGTATATGTATCAAGCCATCCACGCCCGTGTGTAACCGCCTTTTGAGGACATTTTCTATTTTCGTTCACAAAGGGAAAAAACAGACTTCACTTTTTCTTTTATTTAGTCGCAAAATTTTCATATTCAATGAAAAATTGGTAATTTTAAGTTTCTAGCACACGATATACAATAGGTATACAAGTTGGGCCATTAAGACATTATTGAACCTTTTTTTTCAAAAACGCGCCATTTTCGAGATATTGTAATGTCTCAATTTAAACGGACCACCCTGTATAAGTATGGGTACAACATCTCATTCCTGACTGTAAGTGAAGGCGCAATAATTGTTTTTTTCCAGTACCGCGCATAAAGTACCTACTTACGTTACGCACTTTTTAGAAGACATAAAATGTCACGCACCAGTGCGTAAAGTAGTTTTTTTACTACTAACCTGAGAAGTAGTCATTATTCCATCAATTTTTCTGGGAAAAAATTGAATTTTTTTCCCTAGTATAATAATGAAAAAATACCTAGGTCAATAATGAAAATGACGTCATGATGCAAGGATATTGTCATAACGTAACAGGTTTCTATTGGTTTAATTTCAATGTCAAACTGTCAATTTTTAAAAAAGCAGGTTCCTGTATGTACATTAAAGGAAATTACCGTAAGCTGTTGATAGAGGGCAGCACTTCCGACAAGAGAAAATAATTTGAGCACAGGTTTCAAACCTATTTTTTTATTTTCTACTAGTAGTAGTAAAAAAAATTCTATATATCCCTCGGTAGAGAAAGTCATTATATACCTTATGCATTATAAACCTCAGCGCTTCGCGCCTTGGTTTATATAAGCGCTCGGTATATAATGACCAACTTCTCTACCTAGGTATATAATGTACTATTACAATATTTATTATAATAAAAGCAGTATAATATCACAAACAAATTAATTATCATCGTTATACCAGTTTCCTCCTTTCTTCTTTGCACCTCCCAAACCGTCAATCAGTTTCTTCTTATAATTGTTAACCATTTTGGAAAAGTTATCTTCTTGATTTTTCTTATTGATTTTCTGCTTTGGCTGCTTGATAAAATCTTTCTTTCTCTCGCTCAAACTTTTTTTGGCCATTTTCTTATTTTGTTTTTCCTTCTTCAGCGTTTCCGTGTGTATTTTTACTTGCTGGCTCAGCTTATATCTGCTGCGCATTTTCTGAACGGTGCCCGCTTTTGCTGTAACACCTGCATATCTTTGCACTTCTGGCTGATCAATTTGCATTTGTTCATGATTGCCTTGTTGTGCATTCACTAAAGTTGGATCAAAATCTTTAGATTTTGGATTTTTCAATTTCGATTTCTCTTGTCGTTTAATCTTTGCTTTTAATGCTGCTTTACTTTCAATACTAAAAGTTATAATGGGTCGTTTCTGGGTTGAAAACACATTAGGATTATTATTAAGACTTCTGAGGGCAGTTAAAGCATGCTGGTGACTGGTAAAGGCCACAAAACCAAACTGTTTAGATTCGCCTATTCCTTTAGCGTCCAAAGCCCGCATATTTCTCATTATTCTGGCCTCTCTAACTACTGCTCCTTTGCCTCCATGTTTTTCAAAAAGGATCTTCAATTTTCTATCATCCCATGTGGCAGGCAAGTTGTGCACAACCAAACGATCTTTTGCAACAAATGTGTTCAGGTTTCTTAGCATTTGGGTCTTGTATTGCTCGATTTGGAGTCTTTTTGCCATGTCACTGGCTGATACGCCTTCAGCTGCAGGGGTTCCAGCGAGGATCACTGAAAATAACAACAAAATTTATTAAACTCAACATATTTCATAACCATATTAAAAGTTGAATGGATCAAGCATGAGAAAGAAAGAAAGTGTGAGGAAATTGTAAATAAAAATGTTACTCACCTCCTTCTTTAACCAGATACAAATTTCTAGAATCCTTGGGTTTGCTCTTCTGTTCTTTTTGTGCTTTCTCTTTATTTTTGAGTTCATTGCGGTCTATGGCAGCATGGCAATCTAAAATGGTGCCATGTAAGGTCAATTCTGTGCCTGCTTTCAATGCCCTTTCTGCATCTTCCTTATCCTTTAAAAAAAAAAAATATTTCTCTAATTTCTAGTACTTTTGTATGAGTATAGTTATTTATTATTTTGAGAAAGTCTTACCACAAACTTAACAAAAGCAGTCCCTTTGGAATGTTCTGTGAATTTATCTCTACAAACCAGAGCATAAAAGATTCGACCAAATTGGCTCATACATTGTTTGACATCCTCATTTGTGGCATCAAATGGGACATTTTTGATAAAAACAGTTCTGCCCTCGTTAACGTCATGGGACTGGAACGATTTTTTTTCATTTGGATCTTCTAAAACTTCCTCATCATCCTCTTCAATAATTTCTTCATCCTCTGATTGTTCCTGGGATTGTTCTAATAATTCATCTTCTTCATCTTTAATTTCCACAACATCTTTATTTTCTTCTTCTTCTTGTTTTATTTTATCTGCTGCTATTTTTTCATTCTTAAGAAAAGAAATAGTACTTCTTGTATAATATGATAAATAAGTGAATTGGGTGATCAATACTTACTTTCTTTTTATCTTTTTTAAATTTGTCCTTGGCCACAGCAAAATCCACATTAATATTTCGACCCAAAAATGGTTGATTATTGGTATAGTGTTGGGCTTGTTTAGCAAATTGAACTAATTTAAATTGCACAAATGCGCATCCTACTAATTTTCCATCGGGTCTTTTCAAAATGTCTACGCCAGTTATTTCACCGTACTTTCCGAAATGTTCTTGTATTTTCGACTCGGTCACTTTGAACGGGAGGTTTTTGATCATCAACCGGGCTCGTTTTTCTTTGAGGATTTGTTTCGACTTTTTCCGGTCCAAATGTGGTTTTCCTTTTTTATTTTTAAACTTTTTTACACTATCTTGGTTGTTTACTGTTGCTTCAGTTTCTAAAATTCAGGAATGAGATTGTTGCTTGAGATTTGAAGATAAACATACCCAGAATAGGTTTTCCCATTTTTATTTGGGACACAAATATCTTAAAAATTGAATATTCTGTGAAAATTGAAAATATTTAAAAAATATAAATATAACCTCAAAAAAGCACGTGTCAACAAATGTCACATGACATGAGCATTTCATAGCGAATTCAATTCGAAAAAAGTCAAGCATCGGTATCGAACTCTAACTGACCCAGATCAATTGAAACACGCACTGCTGGGAAAATGACAAAACACCATTGTACTTGGCGTAAGAAGTGCATCATTTTTCTAATGCGTTTCAATAATTTACACTAAAATGACCAATGGAGGAAAAATATTGCATGTGTGGCACTATTGCAAAAGCTGTATTCCTTTCAAGATTTTAGAGCTACTCGCTCCGGTGTTAGTCGACCCTGATTTTAAAGGGAAAGATGCGGAGTTTAATGGGTGCAACAAACCCTTTTCGAAAGGAATAAGCGGATAAAGCCCCGGAGCTGTTCCGGAGCTCCTCCTAGGTGTGAAAGGAATACAACTAATGAGACCTAGTTTCGTCTAAAATCTCCATCAGCACCGCTTTGATCTAACAATCAAAAAATCAGTGGATAAAGAACAAATGATACAGCCAAGAAGAAAAAACTTTCAGAATTTTCGTGTAGGTCTGATTCAAGTTAAAATTAAATGAAATGCTTACGGCTACGGCATTAGTTAATTATTGTAATGTAGGTTTAAAAGAAAACACCTTAAGATCGGTACACAATAATTCTTACCGTGCGTTCGGTATTTTGGTCCGAGTTCTCCGAGCTTGAATTTACCATTCGTTTATTCAAAAACTGCACTCGGTGCAGGCGCATTTCCGTTCGTTTATTTTGCTCTTTAAGCAAAATATCGAACGCAAAGTTTTTACTGTATTTCTTTTATACATCGAGTTACTCCGAATGTGTCGCTCTAGAACTCCTCGGAGTCACTCCATAACATACCATACCGATATTAATTCTTTAATATTAATATTACCCAAAAATGCTTCTTGCACCCCCCGCAAATTTGATGCATTAGGGGAAAGGGGGATGCACTATGAGTGACTCGAATGCTTAACGCACTTTTAAAAGGAACGTTCAAGCTTTTGACATTGAGCAGCTCCGAGTAACTCAACGGGTAAAAAGAATACAGTAATTTGTGGTATGTATCTGATGGCGAATTCCATTTGTCAATCAATGCGCAATGAGTGTATCCCCTTCTTTTTCTAAAAGCATGTAACAGGCAAGGATATGGATACATTTTTTTTTTTTGCACTGGTTCGACAAATGGAAAACGCTATAACCAATTAAACGTCATTCATCAGCTGATATCTGATTTTGAGGTTATGATTGCAGTTACAAATAGAAATTTTGCAAACCAAACTAGGAAGGAAATTAGGAAATTACATTTTCCAAGCTAAGATTTTATATAAATTATATTTAAATAGAAAATTTTAATAAGCTTCAACTATATTTTCTCTATTTGTTCAAAATGTCCAGATTTAGTGGTGTACTACAGTTGACTGATTTGGACGATTTTATCACCCCATCTCAAGTGAGTACGATACTCGTAGAAGCTTAAATACAGCTAATTATCGATACTTTTTTGTAGGAATGCATTAAACCTGTTGAAATAAAGAAAACCAAAACTACTGGTACCGGTTCCAAAATTAAAATCGAAGATGACGGGTCTTATTTTCAAATAGAACAGGTAAGTAGAGGGAACTGCTTAATTTTTAATAATTTAGAAATTAACAACAAAAAACCAAAGATTTGATTTATCAAGGCCAGTTTATTCATCTCCAGATAAACTTGCGGGTAACTATCTGCAAGATAAAGGACCCCGCACATTTCTTATGGAAAAGTGATCTATGTGGAATTTTGCTGAATTTTTGATATTGTGTATAGGGAGTCGTCCTTAACAAAAGTGATCAATGCGCTAATGTTCAATACCCAACAGTTTTCAAGATATCAATTAAAAACTTCTTTAATAATACTCTTCAGTATGACGTCACTCACAGCAACGAAAATTATTACTATCCTTTCCACTTTTGACTTTACTCTTCTCCTTTTAACATTAAGAAAAAAAAAAGATAGCGATAGCGATTAGTGACAAATAGGTCGGTATGCAAACAGCACCTCTAGCTCCTGCCGCAATCGTCAACTTCATGTCATGATGTCTGTCATATAGCAATTTCATTTGTACCTGTTGTTTTTTTTAATTTCCTAAATGTTAAAAAGACAAGAGTATAAGTATAGGTAGTCAAAGTTAAAAGTGAAAAGGATAGTTTTAATTTTCGGTGCTATGAGCATACTGGTGACGTCATACTGAAGAGTATCAAATTAAAAAAGTTTTTAATTGATATCTTGAAAACTGTTAGGTATTGAACATTAGCGCAATGATCACTTTTGTTAAGGACGACTCCCTATACACAATATCAAAAATTCAGCAAAATTCCACATAGATCACTTTTCCATAAGAAATGTGCGGGGTCCTTTATGAATCTATAATCCTATTGGTCTGCAGATATTATATAATTGACCGACCAATGGAATTACAGATTCCGTTTCTATACATCAGATTCTACTGTGAACCCTTCATGACCTGTGTTTTAAAAAAAATTGATTTCCGTAGAAACATTCTACAAGCACTTTTTTCAGAATTCAGTGACAATATAATAAAGATCCATACTCTGAGCCTTCTGGCACCCCACATTTAGTGTTTTCAAGAAAGCTAACATGCACATTCAGTTCAACATATTGTCTTCTATTCGTTAAGGGCCGGTTTTTCAATGGCAGGTCACCCCTGAGTCAAGCATAACTCCAGGGTAAACATAGCAACTAGAAACGCATACCCTGGAGTTGTAACCAACCTGGGGGTGACTCGCTATTGAGAAATCAACCCTAAGTAAGATTCCAATAAGCCAAAAATTTGACCACGAAAACCCAAATTTTTCAATTTCTTAAGTATGACCTCTAGGCTAACTACATCAAATCTACAAATACTGCGATAACAATTTTTTTATACTCCTCTTGATCGGTTTCATGACAATCTTAGAAAAAACGCTTACTACCGTTATGGGTCTATAGTTTTGCATAGAAGTTTTAGGACCTGATTTATGTAATGCATTAGAGTAAAAATCAAACGAGAAGAAGCCATTGCTTCTTTTTCTTCGTCTTATCTGGTATTTGGCTCTGCTCCACAAAGGGCAGTTTGCCAGCACGTTTGTGAGTATCTGGAGAGCTGTCTGGCTCTAGGCCATGCTCCAGGTACCATTTTCAATTCTAATTTGTCGGCTTTCAGGTTTTTTTTCTCCTTCAGTTTTCTTATTTTTTCCTGTGAGTTGAGGTTGTAAATACACAAAAGGAAGATACAACACAGGCTGGGTAATCAAAATATGCTTTATTGTAAAAAGAAAAAGATCTTATCTATCAAGCAGCCACCCAGGCAATATACAGGGTGAGTTACTGAGCGCGCAGTGTTCCATATCTCCTATACTAACGGAGATCGAAGAAAAAAACTAGATATAAAACTTGTAGATAAACATGAGTAATACATTCCTAACTCGATTCCTAAATTATTTTCCAGTATACAGGGTGGCCTAAGTAGTGATGATGCAAACTTATGTTTTTTAAATGACTTGTATATTATGACATTTCTGGATTCTGCGGAAAATTCTAAACTATTTAATATGCTAGCTATAGCTATAAGTTTAGAGATAAACCCTTCTACAAAATTAAAAATGAGATTATAGATTGGATAATGGATAAAAACATCACCATTACATCACTTGTATAAGGTTTTACCCTCTATCATTTCATTCAGCAGAATTCACACCACCCCTTCCAAGTGTTTCATGACTTGTAAACGACAACTCGAATATTGTATAGAATTATAAATGTATATGAGGCGCACACACAGTATATTTATACCATAGTGCGTCGCAAACTTTTGTTAGCAAAAAAAAAAAAACTAGGTAAATTAGTTAGTTTTCGTACGATTTATTAAATAAGTATAATTGATAACTACTATTGTTGATGATTTGTAATATTTGCTGATGAATAAATTGAAATTGAAAAATTGAAATAATTCATCTACAATGACATATACCTATCTTCAACTGTTTCAGAAATATTGACAGTTGAAAATTGACTTTTTTGCATCTTTAGTAGACTGTAAAAACTGAACGGTTAATTTCACAGCCAAACCGATCATACATTCTATGTTTTTAAATTATTATTAATCTCCAATGAGCTATTAATATACAGGGTGTTTGGTACATCGATAGGAATATTTCAATGATTGATAGTTGGGGTCATTTGGAAGCTGTTTGACCATATTAACCCTAATGAAAAGTTTCGCCGTTTTTTGTGGTATCACTATTTTTAGATATTTTGAATCCATGTATTTCAACTGTGTTTATGCATAACTTGGGCTACATATTTTTTGTATCAATCATTCGGTTTTTTTTCCATATTTTTCGGAAGAGTGCATATAAGGAATATCGGAAAAAAAAAATTGAGAAAGGGTAAAGTGTTTACTACCAAAAAAACAGTATGTTTTAGGAAAAAATCAAAAATATCTAAAAATGCTAATATCTTAAAAACGACGAAACTTTGCATAAGAGTAAATGTGGCCAAACAGCTCCCAAATGATCCTAACTCATTCATTCAAATATTCCTATCGATGTACCAAACACCCTGTATAGGGTGTCGCGAATGGTGTCCTATTGAAAAAAATCGGATTTTGGTCAATCAAGAACGTCACTGAATTCTGCTTAAAAAAGTGCTTCAAGAAAATTTTCTTATGGAAATCAATTATTTACATAAGCAAAAAAGTTATGAAGGCTTCACAGTGTAGCTCAAAATCGAGAATCACCATCTAGCGGCTAAACAGTTGAAGATATCTAAATGCACTTCACACCAATCAAGATTCCATTCAATTTGAGCCTCAGAGTAGGGGGTTAATTTTTTTGATCTCTTTCAGAAATTGACATTTGACATTTCCTATTGAAAGTGTCAAAATTGGCCCACCCTGTACATAATTTTTATACAGGGTGTCCCACGACGTTTGTCCCAGGTGATAACTTCGGAACGCGTCATTCAATATAATTGAAATTTTGAAGGATCTGGGTAACTTTTTGTGCCGCTTCTACCACTGTCATCCAATTCCATCATTTTTGCTCCAATTTCGGCCAAGTGACGTCAACTTTCGAATTTTAAATGTTACTCATGGTACATTATGGCATTTTTCATTAGAAAATTAAATTACAAAATCGGCTATGCCATATTTGTTCAGGCTTTGTTAAAGGATATGACAGAAAATTATACAGTGGAACATACGATGATGCATTCCGAAATTATCATTTGGGAAAAACCTCGTGGGACACCCTGTATTATTCAAATAATCATATTTTTACCATATTCAGATTCTTTTTGGTTGTGTTTTACCTGCATACTTATCTCAACATTCTTGGGATCTTTAAAACAGCAATAATATGTGTAGTAATTTTATAATGAGATAAAATTTTCTGTGTTCCTAAACCAATAATTATTTATCATTAGGATGGTTCTTCAGAAAAATTACAAAAAGTAGAGATAACTTTGGCAGATTGTTTAGCATGCTCAGGTTGCATAACATCAGCAGAAAGTGTTCTTGTAACACAACAAAGTCAAGAGGAATTACTGAGAATATTTGAAGAAAATAAAAAGTTAAAATTGGTAAAAATTTCCTTCTTATTGTTTTATTTGTATAATAATTCCCACTTTTATTAGGACGGTAAATTTGACGAATCAAAAACAATAATAATATCAATATCCATTCAACCAATACTATCTTTAGCTGAAAAATACGATCTAGAACCAAACGAGTGCGCAGCCAAATTAGCCACCTATTTCAAAAATCTTGGAGCTGATATGGTTGTTGATATGACTATAGCTGAAGATTTCTCATTGATTGAAGCTCAAAGAGAATTTATAAAAAGATTTAGAGCTACCGAACAGGATGGAGTAAAGAATATTTTACCAATGTTAGCTTCGAGTTGTCCAGGCTGGGTTTGCTATGCGGAAAAAACCCACGGTAGCTATATTTTGCCGTACATTTCCAGCACAAAATCTCCCCAACAAATAATGGGATCATTAATCAAGCGATGGGTTGGGCACAATAAATCAATTTATCATGTAACCGTTATGCCTTGTTATGATAAGAAACTTGAAGCTGCTAGAGAGGATTTCTTTGATCAAGAAACTCAAAGTCATGATGTTGATTGTGTTATTACTGGAAGTAAGATTTTTATTTTTCAGTAAATGATATGAATTCTAAATACTATTTATTTTTAGTTGAACTGGAACAAATGCTCCAACAAGCAAACATATCTTTAAAATCTTTGGAAAACTCAACATTTTCCAAGCCTTGGTTATCAAATACCAATACCGAGGAAGCTCCATGTTTCCATCGGCATATAGGCTCAGGTTCGGGAGGATATTCTGATTATATTTTTATAAATTCTGCAAAAGAATTATTCGGAATTACTTGTGGTAATGTTGAATATAAAGCTTTGCGGAATCCTGATTTTAAGGAAGTTATATTGGAAAAAGACAACAAAGTTTTATTAAGATTCGCTATTGCCAACGGGTTTAGGAATATTCAAAATTTAGTTCAGAAATTGAAAAAAGGCAAATCGCAATATCATTATGTAGAAGTGATGGCATGTCCGTCAGGTATAAACTTTTGAAATACCTATTTTTCTTTTTTTGATGAAGTAATGCTTTTTTTTAGGTTGCTTGAATGGTGGAGCTCAAGTGAGACCAAGAGAAGGTGTAACAGCAAAAGAAGTGACAGTAAAACTGGAAAAGTTATACCAAAATCTACCAGTGACCACCCCAGAAGAAAATTATGTGCTGAAAAGTTTGTATGACAGTTGGTTGGACGGGCAAGATAGTGACAAGGCTAATGTAGTGCTTCATACCCAATATCATGCTGTGGAAAAAGCTTCAAATGCTTTGAATATTAAATGGTAGAAAAAGTATGTTTTAATGTTTTATTTTTGTCCTTTTGTTAAATTTTTATGTCTTTAGGCAATTTGCTTCTTTCCAATTATTAATTACAAGTTTATCTACAGTTAACTTTGGAATGGAAAAATTGTGCTCCAAGAAGTTTATTCTCTTCTAGTTGAAATCACCTACAAATTGGTTTGATAATGACTTTAGAAATTGAGTAATGAAATTGTAATTTATGTTGTTTTTAAAGCATATATTTGTTTTTTAATTTAAAACGAGTAAATTTTCCTAAATTTCATTAGTTTTCAAATAATCCATATCATCATTGTCTATTAAATGAGTGCTCAAAAATTCATCAACAGAGTCGGTATTCCATTTCTCAATTGCCACAGTTTCTTGTAAATGACCGTCTTTGTCGTACAATTTAATAATGGGGTCCAATCCTAGATAAATAAAATAATTATTATAAAAATACTTTTTCATAGCTCGTAATTACCTCTAACATATTTGATCTGTAAATTGGGAAACTTAGCAGGCCTGTCGCTCTTAATGAACGCCTGTATTTGAGGGTAAGCCCCGAATTTGCAAGTGCACACTTCCAGCACCGCTTTGGCGTAGTTTTTGTTTTCTTGGCCGTTTTCGTCTGGGCTACAGCATTCTCTACAGTGGTCTCTGTACCGATAAAAAATTGCCAATAAAAATCCATTAAAAAAATAAACAAATTGTGCATGAAGTGATGCACAATAGAAGTGAAACTTCTTCCTCAACAACTAGAATTAATGTTGTAGGTATGTTGGTATTTAAGACAAAAAAAAAGCTAATCCAAATTAACCCGGCCTCTTAACATCTTAAAAAAAATATATTGCACCCAAGTCAAGGAGGATCGAAACCAAGGATATTACACACTACATAAACACAGGATAGCCTATCCCCATAAGGCCTGTGTAGATCAAATCTCAAGCCCCCCCACTATGCCAAAGTACCAATGATGAAGTAGCAGTGTCTCGTTTCTCACTGGCTTTTGCTTTTTGCATACTTGGTTTCAGTACATTAATATCATAAATGTATATTCTTAACCATAGTTCTCAACTAAGACCGCTGTCTCAAACAGCTTTGATGACGTCGACAACGGTACAACACCATATGAACTTGATTCCCAAAATCGAATCCGATGAGCAATATAGTGCGTAATATCCTTGAATCGGACCCACGTCCATTTGCTCCAAAAACCTAGTGTATTCGTAATCCGACTGGGCCACCATGCCTCTGAAGTATTAAGACAATTCGAATCAGCTGACAAATCAAGATGGCGACGTGGGCATAACAAACATGACGACCTGTTGGAATGGGAATTAAATGTAAATGTGTCTTTACGGTTGTCAGGTGTGTTATTCCCAAGGCGCTATATTGAATTGAGAGAACGTTAAATCGCCCTATAATTTGTGCAACACATTACTTAACCTATAAAACGATACATTTGACAACAGCGGATGCTCCTTAGGAGGACTCTCCATATTTCATGATATTTCTGTGAATATTCTTTAAGACATTTCTACCTCTCCCCTATGGGGCGCCATATGTTCCATAATTATTTCGTCTTATATGTAAAATATTTTGCAGGAAAAACAATATATAGATAAAAATGACCACTATTTTGCATATATTTAAAATAAAAAATAATATTTATATCGAATTTAGCAGCATGCAAAGTTCAATATATACAAAATAACTTTGAAAAAATAAATATATTGAATTTGGCCCCATGCAAAATTCAATATTTATAAAACTTGAAAAAATATTATATAGGTATGTCGAATTTGGCACCGTGCAAAGTTCGATATATATAAAACTTTGAAAAAATATATATATTCAATTTGACCCATGCAAAATTCAATATTTATAAAATATGAAAAAATACATTGAATTTGGCATTGTGCAAAGTTCGATGTAAAACTTTTTAGTTTGAAAAGTCCCCGAGAGATGGCGCTACCTTTGATCATAATTTTTTTTTGTGTATGGTGTGTTGGATTGAAATAAGGTATTTTGGAGGGCCGTTGATTTGTAATTTAAATAGCTGCAATTAGGGTGCATTGATTATTGCGTGATGATAATTATGTATTGTCATAAGCGCGGCAACGGCAACACCGGTGAATGATAACTGAGGTTGTGTTGTGTTCCTTTCCTTCCGTTTGAGTGCCCGCCGCGCTCGCGTACCGCCTAAAGTTTGTTTTTTATTTAAAGATAATTCCCCAATTAAAAAATTTACTAAGTAACTACGTTTTCGAGTTTCAATATTATTTCTCCAGTGAAGATTTTCGATAGATTGTGCTATTTTTGAATTTTATGGGGACCCTATGCCAAAAAAAATAGAATTTACACTTTTGTGCACAAGTGAAATTTTTCTTTTTTTTGCGAAAAACCTCTAAATAAAATCACAGAAAACCATGGCAAAATGAGCAAAAACAATCCTCTATTTATAATGGAAAGAACTGTGTCGGTAATCGTATCGTAATCAGCTGATGTTTTGCCCATATGTTCATTTTCGTGTATTAGAAAAATATGCACTGACATACTACAACCAGTTATTATCCCTCGTAGGATGGTTACATGTTTACTGCCGAGTTTTATGTTGTGACGTCATAGTATTTTAGCCATGATCGCTAAACAGTGTTGCCAGATCTCATGATTATTCGTAAGATTACATGATTTTGGTCAGAATTTCACGATCTCACAAATGAGGGAGCAATTCTCACGAATTCTCTTAGTAGTAAATCAAATCACTAATCAAATATAATTTAATCGAGATTAATCGAAATAAAAATCTACTATACAATATTTAGTTATGTTATGCTGCTCCTGGTACGTGTGCGCCTGAACACCTAACGTAATATAGGAATGCTTATTGAGCTGAAAGTGTTTGCCAAGTCCACGAGACCCCACTATCTGTGACGTCAGCTGTAGACCTCAACTCTTGGAAGGAAATGCATTATCAGAGTCCAAAAAACGGATTCATAAATGTGAAATCACCTTTTCTAAATTGAAAATTCCCAAAAAAATCAACTCACAAGCACAGCCTGAATCGCAAACAATCCATCGAGGTCTGCGGATGACATCACCAATATCAGTTGCTGATAGTGGTGACCTCACTCGGATAGCGGATAGTGAAAACGAGGTTCAGCTCTCAGAAACACTTGCTAAAGAACGGAAAAACAAGTATACAAGATTTAATAATAAAATGTTCATTTCTTATGGATGTAAAATCATGTTTACTTTGTCAAAAATCTATGCAAAAAACATTGTTGTCCTTTATTTTCTTACAATATTAAGCAATTTTTGGTCTCACGATTTCTCACGTTTTTTCTCTCTCGATTCTCACGATTTTTTTAAAATTCATCTGGCAACACTGTCGCTAAAATGTAGTATCCCAAGTAAATACAATATACTACTGGGTTAAAATTCTCGCTAAAATACGCCTATAGTTACTTAGTAAATTTTTTAATTGGGGAATTATCTTTAAATAAAAAACAAACTTTAGGCGGTACGCGAGCGCGGCGGGCACTCAAACGGAAGGAAAGGAACACAACACAACCTCAGTTATCATTCACCAGTGTTGCCGTTGCCGCGCTTATGACAATACATAATTATCAATGCACCCTAATTGCAGCTATTTAAATTAAAAATCAACGGCCCTCCAAAATACCTTATTTCAATCCAACACACCATGCACAAAAAAAAATTATGATCAAAGGTAGCGCCATCTCTCGGGGACTTTTCAAACTAAAAAGTTTTATATCGAACTTTGCGAGGCTGTGACTTTGCACAATGCCAAATTCAATATATATAATATTTTTTCATATTTTATAAATATTGAATTTTGCATGGGTCAAATTCAATATTTATATTTTTTCAAAGTTTTATATATATCGAACTTTGCACGTGCCAAATTCGTTATAAATATTTTTTCAAGTTTTATAAATATTGAATTTTGCATGGAGCCAAATTCAATATATTTATTTTTTCAAAAGTTATTTTATATATATCGAACTTTGCATGCTGCTAAATTTGATATAAATATTATTTTTTATTTTAAATATATGCAAAATAGTGGTCATTTTTATCTATATATTGTTTTTCCTGCAAAATATTTTACATATAAGTCGAAATAATTATGGAACATATGGCGCCCCATACTCCCCTGCCATTTCCCTACTCTCTTAGGTCATTCCCTCTGCATCAATTTCCCAACCTTCCGACTCCCAATTAAGGTCTGTTCACACAGAAATTACAAACCAGACAGAGCGTTTTTGATTGGTGCAAATGCAAATACTGTCAAATACTAGTGATATGACTATTTTCAACCAATGAAATTTGATCCGACTGGTTTGTGATTTTGGTGAGAACAACAGACCTTCATATACCCTCTCAGGTTGCCGCGCCGCTGGTATCGCCTTACACGCTCCAAACTTCGTAAAGCTCAAAAATTGTCACCCCCTCAGCAAAAAGGTTTGACTTCAATTTAAATACAGTTACCTTAAAAGCTCTAAATCAAATTTAAGTAATTGTTCGCATGAAGAACACAATAAATTGGCTTTGTTGAAACCCAAAGTCCAACAATCCTCCGAGGAAAATTCTGCTACGGCAACGTTCTGAAACAAGATCGAATTTGAAATATTGAATTTTGATACTAATTTCTCATGATACTCACACTAAACAATGCTAATATTATTAAAAAACTAAGATTATTCATTTTTAGTTTTATTTTCCTACTACAAATCACATAACCTTAAACTAAAAATAAATAAATCCACGTCACATCACGTCACTTATGTCAAGTGGGAGAATCGGATGATGAATAGAGGTGGGTTGCGATTTCACGAACTGTGACTTTGTCACTGCTACGCGTCTGTCACAGTCACAGCCTGCTCCAGTCCCACTCAAGTAGCAGTGACATTTTGTCACGGCCGCTTCAATCTCTCACCGATGCAGCGCGGACTAAACTCAAGTCAAAGTGATACAAGTTGTAAATCGCATCGCGGTGACGCCAAACAGAAACTGCTACTGCAGAGGGCAAACCTGGAACACCTCTCTCGACCGTGACTGCAAACTGGGCGGACTGCGATTATGTAATGTAGCATTTATATATATTACCAGCACGGCCAATCAAGGTTAAACTGCTCCAAAAAATCACTGCTATTTTTCACTGTGACACGACTGGAGCAGTCACGTCTTGTCACAGCTCCAGTAAAATCGCAGGTTGGCCCACCTCTAATGATGAACTTTTTTCCATAACGTCCTCGAGTTGCACTGAAAAGGAGCAGTCAGAATTTGTGCTAAAAAACCTGCACTGGCGCATTAATAATTCATCGAACAGAAATGAATCAGGCAGTTTTTGTAGGAGTCGTAGTAGTAACCACTTCAATCAATTGAACACTGTGTTATGGTGGAATTGCGCTTCAGTGTCCACACTTTTTTGCTCAGAACAACCCTCATCTTTATAGCGTTTTCGGTTTTACTGCTCTCAGGGGTCCGATTCTCGTCTCAGGGAATGGGAGTTCCCCGAAGGAACAAATTTTTCGTCTTTATCATTCTCGTTAACTTTTCGATTACATAGTCAAGGACAAAACATTCGTTCTATCAGGAAGCTCTCCCTCCCTGAGACGAGAATCGGTCCCCTGAGCGGTAACGTCACAGATCTCTGCGGTAGTGCTCCGAGGGCGATTATGATCCAAATGAGGGCACTCCATTTGAAATCAATAACCGATTGTACTTTTGCACAGGTTTGGAAAACAAAAAAGGAATTGAATTAGTTATTTTCCTAACAAGTGCGCAAAGTGTTACTTTTCCGCACGCAAACACAGTTCTACGAACTCGTCTATTGTTTTGATCTTACTCTTTGATCCATCGTAACATGCAGTTTTGGGGCGAAAGTCGTAAACGCTATTTACAATTTATTAGATCTGTTTCTGCATAAATCACAAACCAGTCAGAGCAAATTTCATTGGTTGAAAACAGTTAGAAACAGTCAGAAAACTAGTTTCAACCAATGAAATTCCCTATATGACTGGTTTGTGATTTCTGCAGAAACAGACCTAATTAATCATCAACTACTTAATTAACTACCCTACTCCAGGCAGTGCTGAACTCAATCGGAACTCTTATGAAAATAAACAACGCTGGTATTCTATAGTGTGGAGATACTATTATGCAAATCAACTAAGATCAGAGCCGCTTTCCAGTGCCTAAATTGTTAGAGTATCATGCTCCTGAAGTGTGACGCTCTTGAACTGTTCGCTCCAGCAGTGGAACGCTCTCGTCTTAACCCCCACCATTTCGGATTTCAGGAGCATGAAACACAGACAAAAGGGTTGGTGCACGAGGGGGCAGGGGATAACAGAAATGAGTAGCTCAAGTGTACGACACTCTAAGCACTGGAACGCGCAAAGCAATTGTGGAGCACTCCTGAGCTGCTCAGGAGTAACTCAAATGGGTCACTGGAAAGCACCTCAGGTAAAAATGGAAACCCGTAACATTTTATTCTAAAAATATTTTTCCTCGAATTGGAACATTTAGAGTTTGCTCCATCTACTCTATTCCGTAAAGACCGAACGTGAACGAACTTACTCAATTTACGCTATAATGCTACAGAAGAACTTTCAGAGTGTCTTACGGATTACTTTAAATAGTCAGAATGCACCAGCGAAACCCAATAGTTGTATTCCTTTCACAACTAGGAGGAGCTCCGGAACAGCTCCGGGGCTTCACGCGCTTATTCCTTTCGAAAAGTTTTTGTTGCACCACGCATCTCTTCCCTGCAAATCGGGGGCGTCTGAACACCGGAGCGAGTAGCTCGAGTGTTTCAAACTCTTGAAAGGAATATAACTAATGCTTCAGGACATTAATCGACATTCTAAAACATCCCTTTTTTGGATCCCGTTTTTATTTTCCCCAATTTTCTTTGCCTGTTGCAGCTAACGACACCATTGAAGACGTCGACAACGGTGCAACACCGTATCAAATCAAAATCAAATCACCTATGACCTTGATTCCAAAAATCGAGGACAATGATCTTTCCTTGTAGATAGTAGTGTGTAATATCCTTGTTAAAACCGGGGGTTACGAAAAAAAATCCCCGAACATAACCTAACCTAACTTTTCTATGAATTATGAATGTTACTTTTTTTCGATTTTTATTTTTATTTTTTCAATTTGAAAAGCAGAATGAAATTTTTACGATTTACGAGAACGATTTTATTTTTGGGAATAATTAAACTGGTTGTGGAAGTGAGAGGATTCTCATCCGAAATTCTGGTGCTTTTCGGTGATAAAAATTGCATTGCTGGTGAGTTTTTTCGGTTTATCAAGATTTGCACGAGTTTTAGATTTTTTATGAAATCAATAATTGATATAGTATATTGCCTAACTAGTGCGGAAAGTACCACTTCTCCGCACGCGATTGCACTTGGCCCAACGACACATACCGGAGTAGATAGAGCCAAAGAATCAAAGTGAAGAAAACAGACTCTCCCCACGAGTCAGGAACGCTATTTCTTTCTACGAGATGACATTTAATATTTGTACCTCAAACAAGCTCAGATATTTTTACTTTTCTGTACTAGTGCGGAAAATATACTTTCATGACATAAAATGCGGGCTGAAAAGTGGGGTTTATTTTTATTTATTTATTTATTAAATTCACGGGATCACCCCATTACAGCATAATAATAACAATAAATATAATATAATCATTAATATTTCCTTAAATTACAAACAAATCTACAGTTTACTATATATGATAGTTTTAAATTGACTTAAACTTAAATTTAAAGGATCTACATCACAGTGTTTATTTAAAAACCTAAGGGCCCTATCGAATGGATTATTACAGCCATAATTAGTAGAATGAAATTTTATGTGAAAAAATTCATAAAATCTCAATGTATGTTGTGGAATATTGAAACTAACTCTGCTTATAAGTTCAGGACAATCAATAATGTTATTCAATAGTTTAAAAATAAATAAGGAGTCAAATTGAATTTGTCTATTGTAAAGTGTTGTTAATTTCAATCTATCCAAGATTACTTTTTTATCAATGTCTGCAGCTGGGATTCCCATTCTATAACCAGAATATTTAAAAAACTTATTCTGCACCCTTTCAATTGAATCAATGTATGTCTCATACATAGGAGACCAGATCAGTGTTCCATATTCAAGTTGGGAGCGGACAAGAGAACAATACACAACTTTTACCACATCAATTGGGAAATCACTACAATTTCTCAATGTAAAACCAAGAAGTTTGAGCCCTTTAAGAATTATATGTGAAATGTGATCATTAAAGCTAACACTTTCATTAAAAGTGACACCAAGGTCTCTAACTTGATTCTTGTAATTTAAGTTCACATTATTCATGATGCAGTTTGAATGATATTTCTTATTACCTGTAAAAAAGCTAATATAAAAACATTTATCTATGTTAACCAATGTTCCCGCCAATGACTTGAAATTGAATGATTTAAACTGTTGTTTGTGCTCTCGATTTTGCTCTATTAATTCAATTTGTGGATGAAACCTTTTATCATCTGTAACATTAAAATTATTGGGTTTTGTTTTATAGGCAGTCTGAGTTCTACGGATATTAATAAAGAAGTACAAGAAATTAAAAAAGGTAAGTAGGTACCTATTTTTTGAATGTCACAGTTGCAATATTTTCCTGGGGCATGGCCGGCATGGGCAGAGAATTCTCTACACCGACAATTCTAAAATTATGAAAAATGCTAAATAATTTTCATGTAGTTTTTCAAAAAATTCTGAAAAATCTGAAATATTCCAAAAGAATCTCTTATTCTATATGCCATTGTCTAAAATATGTAGAGGGTAGAGGGGTAAATTCCTATAGATTTGGTATGCTTTTGTTTGACCCTACGCAAGTGCACAATAGATAAAAATGTATTTTGTGACTTGTGCTTTTTTCCCATGGGCCAAAGTAAATGAAATTGTTAAAATTTATTGTATTTTTCCAGTTTTCATTCAAATGAAAATTACAAAATTCGAATGATTGTAAATAAAATAGTATAGGTACATACCTTGGTTGAAAGTTTCATTACTGTCTCAATATTTAAGTATATAACTAAAATTTCTCTTCAGTATTGAAACATTTCCCACCTCGGTAGGTAATATCCTATGTATTACCATTTTGTAAAAATAATCAATTTGAAGGAAAAAAAAAGGGTTTACTGTTGTAAAATAGTACATACAAAAATTTTTAAACCATATTAGCTGTTTGACCTTTGATGTCACTTTAATCCAACATCGAGGTCGCAATCTTTTCTTTCGATGAGAACTCTCAAAAAAAATTACGCAAACCCGCAACACGTATATTGATGTCATTTTGGAAAAAAATCAAATTTTTATAAAACTACATTGAGGGTTTCCTTCTTTTTTTTTTTTGAGGAAAATGTTGGACAGGATAGGATAGAAATTTTGCGATTAGATAAAAAAAAATGAATTTAAACTCCTCTACATATTTTTCCATGTCCCAGGAAAAAGAAGTTACCTCACCATTAGTTAGATACGACACTAAAAATACAAATTTTTAGATGATTTAGTCAACGATATGACTTTTGGTAATTTAGACGGAGAGAAATCAACTATGAGCAACATTAATGAATTGGCACAGTACAACGATATTAGTTATTCCTACGAGTTGCTTCAAGAAGACGTAAGAAACTTGTTTTTTGTAAAAAAAAAAAACATTTTTTTATATTTTATCACTTAGGGTCCACCTCATAGTAAAACCTTCACAATAGCGCTTTACCTGGGCGACGAAACCTACAAAAGCGACGGTAAAAGTTTTAAAAAAGCCCAACAATCAGCAGCCAGTTTGGCTGTAAAGAGTACCAAATATGAACATCCACCAGTAAAGTTCAAAGAAAACGAAAAAACTCCTACTCCTACGGTGGTGCTCAATAATTTGGCATCAAAATTAGGCTTGGCTGTTGAATATAGTTTGATAACTGATGATTTATTGGTAAGAAATTTTTTTAGTAACAACCACGTAATCGGACAATTAATTTTGAGTTTATAGGCAAATCTAAACAAGCAAAAAATCATTGACCAACCACATTCAGGAAAATCTTACCTACAAAAACTAAACGAAACGGTTCACTCTAATGATACTGCACACGTCAGGAAAGATGGCGGAGATCCTAAGGGCCCGTTTACAATCAGAGTTGATGTGAACGGGGCTCAATTTTACGGGGAAGCCCACAGTATACAGAATGCTAAACATGAAGCTGCTCTGAAAGCTTTACAGGCATTGAAAGACGATAAAAACGCCTTCAGTTGTCTTGAACAAGGTTAATTTTTTTCAGGTGAAATAATTTCTTTTGATTAATTTTGTATCCTCATTTTTAGACGATAATTGCAAATCGAACAAAAACCGACTAACTAAATCGCCGATAACTTTAGTGCACGAGGCGGCCCAAAAACGAAATTTTCAAGTCGTTTTTGATATTGTAGACGAAATTGGACCTTCCCATAAAAAATTATTTACTGCTAAATGTTCGGTGGACGATTTAGAGGCAACTGGACAAGGAAAATCGAAAAAGGAAGCGAAGAAAAATGCCGCAGAAAACATTCTGCCGTCGTTATTGTTAAAAACGAGTAATAGTTTGGAAAAAATCACAAATAATCAACCGAAAAATAATAATAAATGGAAAAAGAAGAAAAAAAACAAAGTTATTAAAAATTCTTTGGACAAAATCGATCGGTTGATTGATAATGTAATGGATTTTGTCAGTTCAATTGGAAAAGGAGAAAATGATAATGCTAAGAAGCCTAAAGATGACAAAAAATCGCCCACAAATGAACTACTGGGACTTGGAAAAGTTTTAAATTTACAAATTAAATTTAAAGATTTCAATACTAATAATGAAAATAAAGCTACTTATTATTCTGTAGTAGAATTGGGACTAAAATCGCCTTCTATTGTAAGTTCAAATAGCTTGGTATTTTGAATACTTTATTAATATTTTTTAGATTTGTTTAGGTGAAGGAGTCAATCAGAAAAACGCAAAAGACCTAGCTTCAAAATATGCGTTGAATGCTTTATTTAAATTGGGATTTTTGGACAGTTTTCTAGATAAATCCGGTTCTGTTTCAGATAAAGAGGAAGAGTTCCAAAAGGTTTGGTTGAATGTTGTGGAACGCAACGAAAAAGATGAGTTGTGAATTTGTCTACAAAATAATTTTATTTGACAATATTTTTATATATTTCTTTTTCTTTTTTGAGTAACTTAAATCGAATATACAAAAACTAACGTTTGTTTGTTTGTTTGTTCGTATTTTATGGACTCTGAAACTGCTGAATCAATCTCCTTGAAATTAATACTATACAGGGTTAGTAAAAAGTACTGCAACACTGAATAACCTCAAAACTGCTTAAGCCGCGTTGACACAATTCGGATTCTGACATTTTTTGGATATGCGGAATTCAACAGTGATATTGACAATGTTGCCAGTTTTGCGCTACACGTAGTCTTTTTGTTATCTTAAATAGAATGTCCCATTTATTTTTATTGCAATAAATTGAGAGTGCCAAATTTGATAAGATTAGGGTTTCCATACATCCGGATTTACCCGGACATGTTTGGGTTTTTAGGGTGTCCGGGGAAGTCCGGCCGGAATTCGGAACAATGTCCGGAAAATTTGGAGATCGTGAAAACACTCGTACTCACTCAGTTTACGCAACGCTCTATTCAAAAGACAAAAAATTTTACTTCACGCATTATAGTACCAGTACCTATGTAAAGTAGTTCACTTTACACACTAGTAAATGAAGTAATGTCAATGACATATCGTCGTTAATTTCACAAAGTGACGTATCTCAAAAGAACCCTGATTTGAGATACGTCACTTTGTGAAATTAACGACGATATGTCGACACTGTAATTTTTTTCTAGTAAATTACTTCACTTCACGATTTACGTACTAGTACATATTAATAGAGTATTGACCTAAATTTATTTTTTTACATACATATTTTATTGGTAGTAAAATTTTTTTGTAGATGCAATTCGTGTGTAAAGTGAACCTTTTTCACGAATGTGAATTTTGTCGCACTCCTCTTTCACTTTACACCCTTGTTGCATCTATTTCGGCGAAGGGCGAAGTCCGGATTTTGTCCAGATTTCTTGACTCCTTTGTCCTGAATTTTGAAAAACCTTTATGGAAACCCTAGATAAGATTCCAAACTTTCAGAATTTTATCGCTGTTAGTTGCTGAAATATGACAACACCGTATTTTCGGTGAAAAGTATATCAACGCTTGAATATTTTCGAACGCCGCTTAAGCACGTTCACGAATTTAATATCTGAGGGTTTTTGGGCAAGCGAAATTCAACCGTGATATCGGCATTGTTGCCAGACTTCCCAGTTTTGCACTAAACGTAGTCTTTTTATTGTTTTGAATAGAATGCCCCATTTACTTTTATTGTTTCAAATGAAATATAATATTATTATAAAAATAAATAGCCCCCACCACGCCAAAGTAACAGTGATGACGTAGTCAGCGTGTGGTTTCTCGCCTTGACGTAGGGTGTTTGAACCACAAGTTATGATTGCGTTGATTTCTGCTTTATGCATATTTGATTTTAGTACATTAATTAACATCTTAAAACGACGCTTTTTTAGATCTCATTTGCATCTTTCTCTTTGCCTGTTATGTTAATCAAAATTAAATAATATTTTTCATCATAAATTTATATTCTCAATTACGACCGCTGGCGCAAACAGCTAACGACACCATTGATGATGTCGGCAACGATGCAACACCGTAAGACCTTGATTCCAAAAATCGAGGTCGCTGAGCAATCCTCTAATAATGTGTGATATCCTTGGTGCAAGGAACGCAGAAAGGAATGCTTATCGGCTTTGTTTTGGGTCAAGGATGATACACACTACTACTACAGGATAGCCTATCCTCATAAGGCCTGTGTGGATAAAATCCCCCCTTTCCCTAAGCCAAATCACCAGTTGTGACGAAGGCAGCATGGTATTTCTCGCCTTGACGTAGGCTGTTTAAATAGCTGACGACTTAGTAATGACGTCGGAAATGATGACACACCAATATGGCGTCAATTACCAAAAACGAGGCCGATAAGCAATCCTGTAGGTATTTATCATCATCCTTAGTTTTTGGTTTTTTGGTAATCGCCGCCATATTGGTGTGTCACCATTCCCAATGTCATAACTAAGTCGTCAGTTGTTTGCACTAGCGGTCGTAGTTTAGAATTTAAATTTATGAAGAAAATTATTATTTTATTTGGATTAACATGATAGAGGTGAAAAGGAAAATAAAAACGAGATCTGAAAAAGAGTGGTTTTAGAATGTTAATTGATGTAGTAAAAACAAGTATGCATAAAGCAAAAGCCCGCGGAATCATAACCTGTGATGCAAACAGCCTACGTCAAGGCGAGAAACGACATACTGCCAACGTCACAACTAGTGATTTAGCGTCGTGGGTGCTTCAGATTTGTTCCACACCGACCTTATGAGGATAAGCTATCCTTAGTAGTGTGTATTATCCTTGTCCTTGGTGTAGCCTAATCGAGTTCTGAGCTGCTTTCGGGTGCCACATTTTGAGCGCTCCCGAGTTACTCAGAAGTACTCCAGCAACAGTTTGACCCGTTCGGTATCAAGCGTTCGAGTGCAAAACGCATGGAGAATGACAGGTCACTGACAGGTGTGAAGTGTTCCAGGAGCTTCGCACTCTGCACCCGAAAGCGGCTCAGAAATGCGCACTACAATACTCTGTTTCTTGGAGTGTTAAATTTATTACGATACAATCAAACAGCAAACAGCCTAATTTATGAAATCTTGATACCGAAAAATAACCGTTGAGAACCGATTAATTTATATCGGTTCCGGTTCTACCTGCCTTACACATTTCTATCAAATTTGGGCTACGTTACGGTCCACAAAAAAAAAAAGATTCTGTTCTGTTTTCGATTTAATATCGGTCCGTTCCGCGTTCCTGTTCAGGAGTAGCTAGGTGAGGAACCAATTACAGCCAAAGCAAAATGCGACGCACCGCTTTTTCAATGAATATCAAAATACTATACTGGAATAGCCAAGAACTGACAAATTATGGCACTTGTGCTACACCAATAGAATTCGCTATTCGAAGATTTATAATATTTTCGTCTTTACTGCTTCCTGTCTGGGCGACGACCGCAGATCTCTGCGGGAATGCTCCGAGAACGATTAGGGCGAGTTCTCAGTTCTCATGAGCGTAAGTTGACATTTCTGGCGTAATCACGTGATAATATGGTGTAATTTGATTGGTAAAATATCCAGCATGGCGAATATTTTACCAATAAAACTCATACATTTTATCACGTGATTACGCCAGAAATGTCAACTTACGCTCATGCGAATTCGCCCTTATAATCCAAGCACACCATTTGAAATCAATAGGCGAACAAACTTTTTGATCCGTCTAATTTGACAGAGCATGAAAGAGTGCTCCATGCGAGATTTCACAGCGTTCTATTGCCCAAGTCGAACACGTGAATCACGCCGAGGGCAACGCTCCGGTTTACGCGAAAGCGCTATTAGGGTAATCGATGTAATAAAAACATAAAAATGTAATAAGAGTAAGTAAAATACATAGAGTTAGCAAACCAAACCCAATTCATGACGTCCTCTTTTTGCTCTGTTCACACGTATAAAATCTCCTTCAAATCTACTCTCGGATTACACCGAATCGCACTAACGGGAGTCGATGAGGAACCGATTTTACTCGAGGCAAAAAGTTACTCACCTGTTCCCAAGTGAATCCCAAAAAATTACACTGACTGAAATAGCCAAGAACTGACAAATATGGCACTCGTGCTACACCAAAGGAATTCGCTTTTTGAAGATGTGTTCACTCAGTCACTATCTCGTTTACTTTTATACAACTAAGGGCGGGTATTATAAAACTGCTTTGACAGTTAACTTAAAGTTAACTTTTTGAATTACATGTAATTCCAGAAGATAACTTTAAGTTAACTCTCAAAGTAGTTTTATAATAGTTGTATTGTTGAAACACTCGAGCTACTCGCTCCGGTGTTTAGTAGCCCCCGATTTGCAGGGAACAGATGCGTGGTGCAACAAACACTTTTTAAAAGGAATAAGCGCGTAAAGCCCCGAAGCTGTTCCGGAGCTCCTCCTAGGTGTGAAAGGAATACAACTTATAAATAAACTGTCAAAATAGTTTTATAATATCCATCAGCCTCTTAGACAAGGAAAGAGAGAGGACGCGTAACATCCTTTACCTGCACTAGCAGCTGGTTGTGACCGTTTGCCACCAAATAATGGCGACAATTTTTCATGGTGCCACTATGTGAATTTTACTTCAGACTAACATTTTTGTGATATTCAGCATGGTGGATTGCTAGCGTATGGCTGCAAAACCCGCAGAGAAAAAAAAGTCGACGGGATTACATTTAACAGGCAAAAAACAATATGCTTTCTAGGTTATGTTATGAAAAAAGCAGACATTTTTTGGTGGCAAACTGCTTCATTTTCACCTGCTGTGTTACGAGTCCCCTCTCTTTCCTTGTCTAAGATCAGCCTAGTACTCATAACCGTAAAATTCGTTCTTCTTTGACATTGCTTTGACAATTTGACGTTTGATATACGCATGAAACGTCAAATTGGCGGAGCAATGTCAAAAAAGAGCGAATTTTGCAGTGATGAGTACTAGGCTTTAATCAATCTAGTATTTGTATCAAGAGCTGCTTTCGGGTGCCACCTTTTGAGCGCTCCCGAGTTACTCAAAAGTACTCCAGCAACAGTTCGACCCGTTCGGTATCAAGCGTTCGAGTGCAAAATGCATGGAGAATAACAGGTCACTGACAGGTGTGAAGTGTTCCAGGATCTTCGCACTCTGCACCCGAAAGCGGCTAAGGGTGCATTTATGTTGGAGCTTCGATAAACGATAAGAGTACCGATACTAGCGAAGCGTAGAAAATTATTTCATTGGTTTGTACTAAGGCCGTGTTTATGTTGGAGCTGTGATAAACGATAAAAACAACGATACTAACAATAGCTGGGTTCGGCTATTCAGCGCGGAGTTGGAGTGGAGTGAACAGAGCTAATGGAGTCACGCCTAATACGGTAAAAAGCAATACCCGAACCTTAACCCGAACGGCTGGAGTGCGAATGGAGTTACTCGGAGTGAGCAAGCCGAACCCACCTGATATACATTAGTATCGTTGCTTTTATAGAGTATCACAGCTCCAACATAAACACGACCTAAGGTGTCTATGTAGGAGTGACGTGTTAGAACAAGTTTCCAATGAAATTAAATTTTCGTTGGTCTGGTTGCTTCTCTTATTGCCGCTCTTATCGTTTATCGCAGCTCCAACATAAATGCACCCTAATTTTACTGCACTGGTTCTACTAATAGAAATGAAATCGCTATTAGTGCCTGTTTACAACCGACTCCTGCACTACAAATAAAAGAGAGCGAATATATCACTTGTGCTAAAAAAGAACAGATATACTTTTTAGTCTTGTCAACTTTTTACTGTTACTTCTGACAGAGGTGTTTGTTTAGTTTGTTTATTCTTTGAAAAATTGAAAATAATTCCGTTGATTTTCCAAAATAAAAATCGAATTATGTTGCGGAATAGCCGTATGGCGCGCGAATTGGCAAATTTGTCCGATTCGGACAACAAAACCATTTCGCTAGTTGCAAAAAATGACAGTTTAGGCGAATTGGAAGCTCAGATAACCGGCCCCGAGGGTACCCCCTATGAAAACGGTGTTTTTAAGGTAAGAAAATTGTATGAAAGTTTCCTAAATAATATTTGAGACTAAGTTTTGTGAAGAAAAAGGTTATTCTCTATTTCATCATTTTCAGTTAGAAGTATTGGTACCTCAAAATTACCCTTTTGAGCCACCCTCTATCAAGTTCCTAACAAAAATCTACCATCCAAACATTGACGACAGTGGCAGAGTTTGTATGGATCTCGTCAAAATGCCTCCAAAAGGCAACTGGAGGCCTACCATCGGACTCGAGTCTTTGCTGATTTCCATTAGGCTACTTTTGGAGTCTCCTAATCCTGATGATCCTTTGATGGCCGATATTGCTACTGAATTTAAAAGGTAAAAAGCTTTTTTGAACATTTATTCTGAGAGAGCCAATAGTTAGTTAGCTCATAAGAACAATTGCTCTGTCATTGTCAGTGTTATGCAGGACGACAAAGACAGAACCTTCGTTCCAATGAGAACGCTACTCCCCTGTTTCGAGAATAAAGTTCCTGCTGAGTGCTGAGTGGCTGAACTAAGCCGCTGGGACCGCCTGAATGTACCTAATGAAATAAGAAATCGTGCTGGGTTATGTGATCTGTCAATTGTGTCATACTCCCCCCACTCCCTCTCAATCACATTTTGGGCCTGCGAGTGACGTCACTATAAGCAGCGTTTGGTGATGACGTCACCTGCAGGCCTCGATGAAATGCTAGCGATTCAGGCTGCGCTGTGAGTTAATTTTTTTGTCGATTTTAAATGTAGAAAAGGTGATTTTCGGTCTGTTCTCACACAAGAAATTAAGTGTTCTTGATCCTCGAAGAAGGCGAGAAGCTTTTTTACTTAATTTTTGAAAGCTACTGAAATTGCCATTATTAATTTCTTTATGAAGGATTGGAGATTTGGCCAGATCATTCTGTTCTGATCCGAGCGAGATTGTTGACTGAACTGCTGACCGAAAGCCAGTAGTTCAGGTTCAGCTTGCTCCATTTTTAAAAATTAAAATTTACGGTAAATAACAATATTTTCCGAGTATCCAGTACAAAACAAACATTAGTTGTATTCGTTTCACACCTAGGAGGAGCTCCGGAACAGCTCCGGGGCTTCACGAGTTTGTTCCTTTCGATTCGAAAAGTGTTTGTTGCACCACGCATTTGTTCCCTGCAAATCGGGGGCGCCGAACCACCGGAGCGAGCTGCTCGAGTGTTTCAAACTCTTGAAAGAAATACTACTAAATGTAAACCCCTAAATGCAGGCTGTCAAAATGATTTTTTGAGGTTATAATGTCCATTGTTTTTATTTACATTTTTATTATTTTTACACTTGAGTCCAAAATACAATAAAAAATAGTTTCCAAAATGCAAAAAAGACGTGTGGTAGTTACTGGCATAGGAGTCCTGAGTCCCCTGGGGGCTAGCCTGAAAGAATCGTGGCAAAATCTCATGGACGGCCACAGCGGCATTACGAAATTGGGGCCCGAATTTGAGGGTTTGCCCTGTAAAATTGGCGGCTACGTTAAAGAAAACGGGCAAAAGTTCAATTTATCCGACCACTTCACTAAAACGCAGCTGAAATCGATGGCCCCGGCCACGGGTTTTGCCCTCTTGGCGGCCGGCGAAGCCCTGAGAGACGCCCAAGTTGATTTAGAAGATGAAAATTTGAAATTAAATACTGGAGTGGCTGTGGGAATGGGTATGGTGGATTTGCAGGACATTTGTGAGACGTACGAAGCCCTGAAGAGGGGCTACAAACAGGTCAGCCCCTTTTTTATACCTAGAATTTTGCCTAACTTAGCTGGAGGGCAAATAAGTATAAAATATGGATTTAGAGGCCCTAATCACACAGTATCTACTGCTTGTGCGTCTGGGGCACACGCCATAGGAGACTCTTTTCGATTTATACAAAATAATTATGCAGATATGATGATTTGTGGGGGCACAGAGAGCCCCATTAGTCCTTTAAGTATAGCCTCTTTTTGTCGTCTAAGAGCTTTGAGTACAAATTTTAATGAGGATCCCTCTAAAGCCTCAAGGCCTTTTGACAAACTTCGAGATGGGTTTGTTATGGGTGAAGGCAGTGCTATTATAGTTCTGGAAGAGCTGAATAGTGCCCTAAAACGTCCAAATGTTAGAATTTATGGAGAAATTTTAGGCTATGGCTTATCAGGAGATGCAAGCCATTTGACCGCACCTAGCCCAGACGGTTTAGGGGCTTTTCTGGCCATGAGTCGAGCCCTAAACGATGCTCAAATAACCCCTAATGAAGTCACTTATATTAACGCTCACGCCACTTCAACACCCATGGGTGATGCAATTGAAATTAGGGCTATAAATAAACTATTTCCAAATAACAATGTTGCTGTTTCATCAACAAAAGGGGCCCACGGGCACTTATTAGGGGCTGCAGGCAATCTGGAAGCTGCGCTCACAGTTAAGGCAATATTTGAAGGGGCTCTGCCTCCGACCATTAATTTAGAGAAGAACGATTTTGAAAATGTCAATTTTGTAATTGGAAAGGCACAGAAATGGGAGTCGAAAAGGAGGGTGGCGCTGAAAAATGCTTTTGGATTCGGTGGGACCAATGCCAGTTTGTGTTTTGGGCAATATGTTAGTGGAATTTTTAATTTAATTTTACATTTAAAAAACGATTTAATATTGACCAATGTATGTAATTTTTTTTTTTTTTTTTTTCAGGAACCACTCTGAGTATGTCAGAAAAGCCAAAGAGTATACTCAGAAGTATGCTAAATGTGTTTCTTGAGGAATAATTAAGTTTAATTCAGAATTTAGAGTATTCTTTATAAACAAAGTTCCTAAATCACTATAAGTAGCTGTTGGACTTTTTTATGAAAAATACTATACAATTTTATACTTAAGAGAGATTTCTTGTCTGTTGTAATAAAGCTCTCTGATTGTTCTTGTTATTGGAACTTGGAACACACCAATACTGAAAAATTGATGAATTTTGTGATGCTCTTAATGGTAAGATAATTTAGTTAATGGATTGTTAAAATGAAAAACCAAAAATCAATAAATATTTCTTTTTGTAGTTCTTATAATACATATACGAATTGGATTAAAGTTTACTTCTGTTATTTTTTTTCTCTTTATATTAGACAATAGACGTAAGATTAATTATTCATGATAAAATTTAGAAATTTTTACAATCTTCAAAAAAATCTTGAAAAATAGATACTTACAAAAGTTGAATTAGGGCTGGTTTATCCACCTTTTGATAAACTATCAGGTATACAATCTGACAGATAAAAACGCAATCTGTAATCACCAACCTTTTTGTATCTTGTCCAAATCTTGGATTTTGTTTAGTAAAATGCTTTGTTTGCCTCATAAGAAAATTAATGACAAAACCAACGTGATTATTTTTTTAAAAATTACTTAGAAGCTCGTCGATTCTGCTCAGCACTTGTCGCCTCATTTTTTATATGAAGACTACGCCGGTTATCTTTGTTTTTTTGAAAATTTTCATCCTCCTCACATTCTTCAGCATAGCTACTCCTTGCGGCTTCAGCAAAGCTCTTAAACGATCAAAAATAAACTCAGCAGTAATAAAATCCAAAAGCTTACCTCAGGATATTGCTGAGACAGTTTCACCTTGACAGCTCTGATTTTCTTGAAAATATAGTCCAAATCTCGTTTCATTTCGCCCAAAAGTTGTACGTGCTTTCTGAACTCTGGTCCGACAGTTTTAAGCCTGGAAGCGCTCAAGGCGTTGCAGTTTGTCAACATTTCATTGGTTTTTTCAAATCGTTGCAACCTGCAATTGAACTGCTCTTAGAAACAAGTTCTGGAGCAGAAGTATTTTTGGCCTAGAGCAATCTAAGCATGTGCTTACATCTGTTTTTGAGCCCTAATCATCGTTTCCACATCCTGCTGATCCACAATTCCAGCTAATCCTTGGATAAAAACTTCTGGGGCTGTGTAGTTTTGAAAGCATTCTATGCTGAAATCGCTTTCGGGGGTACCTTTGAAATCGTCCATGATGTTTTTACGCACAAAAATCGAAATTCAAAAATATATTTATTTGTTTACTTTTCCTTTTACACAAGTTCGACAGTTCAATTTCCCAAAAAACAATTTTTTTGGTTAGGGGTTTTCGGAAACGAGTGGCAATCGATTCCACACTCACTCCACTCTACGTTTCAGTTCGAGAGTAGATTGGTAGACGGATTTTTAGTCACGCGAATTCGCGGCATAAAAAGGTCAGAGAGAGCAGGTTTTTCGGCCGGTGTTCTTGGAGTAAAATTTAAAAAAAGTTCTCTGCAAAAATCGCCTTTCCGAAGTGGAACTTTTGGATTGAGCTTATTTTACTCTACTCCGTTCAAATTAATGTGAACGGAGTTACTCTATCTGCACATAAAAACCATGCTCGGAGTCGGCCGAATTCATGCGGCGCGTCAAAAGTGTCACTGATTTTTGTTATTAATTTTTCTCGTTGAATTTTCTAGACTTTGAGCTTCCAGGTTATTCTATTGAATTTTGAATTAAATTTGAAACAATTCAATCAAATCAATAGGATTTTGTTAACGTGAAATACATGCTATAAAAGGAAAACCAAATTCAATTCTAAACAATATCCGCTGATTATAGACAAGCCAAGGTAAGACTACTTAATTAAGTATTAGGAGGTACTTTCTTGCACATTTGTTAAGTTTTTTATTAAATAGCCGACAATATTTAAAATTGACGCTGGATTTTTTGAAGTCTCTCTACAGTCTACCTAGGAAAAATAAGTATGTGCTACTTTGCAACAACTCTTTAACTATTATGTTTTGTTTTTTCTCTTTAAAGATTGAGAGATTCATATTGTAGGTATTTATGTACTCAAATGTGTATTGTCCATAGTTTACCTACTACTGACTATTTAATTTGCATTAATTGATTGTTAACTGTCACATAATTATATAGGCCACATTTTTCAAAAACATTTTTGGCTTCTAGTAACTCATACGTAGGTCCCAACTTCTATGGAATTATTTCGCAGTTATTTCATTTGTCCATTTATCACTTCAAGAGAATCTTATATACAGGGTGATCTATTATGAATTTCACCCCCTGCTAACTTTTTCATTTAACGTTTTTGAAAGAAGTGTCAAATAATACAAAAGTTTTAGGAAATTGTCATTTTTTTTTTCAACTAAGTCAGTTTTAGGCATACAGGGTGCGTCAAAAAAGTGTAGCAGTGATAAGTTATATTTTCTTAAATGGAACACCCTGTATATTGTGCGCTTATTTCTTAGTCCTCTTTAACCTGATTTCAAAGATATACCTACGGTTTGTTATTTTTATCTCTTTGTTTATGGTTTATCTCCACCAGTTATAGGGAAAAACTCAAAAAACTCTTCCTAAGTCTCTCATAGTGATGTAAAATTCCCGAAACATTCAAAAGCCGCAAACATTCTCGGAAACTTTCCGGAAATATTGGAAACTTTTGGAAACTTATGGAAATATTGTAATTTTTTTTTTTTTTTAATTTTTTTTATTTATAGCTAAATCAGACAAACCGTAGTAAGCTTTATTTGCCTATTACTACTTCTTCTCCAGAATATCTCAAAAATTATCCATGTCCTCGAAAATTACAGTATATAACAGTATAATTCAACCTCATTTTGATTTTTGTAGCAGCATACTATATGCATTTGATTTAAACAAAAAAATAGCTCTACAGAAACTGCAGAATAGAGGAATGAGAGTTATTCTCAAATGCAATAGGTACACTGGAATCCAGCTGATGTTAAATACTCTACAGTGGCTTTCAGTACAAAAAAGAATGTTTCGTAATGCTATGATTTTTATTTATAAAATATTGAATAATCTTCTATCACCATATCTTGAGGAATTTGTTGCATTCAGATATGATATTGTCGCAGCCCTGCCGGTTGAGACTGTTGCAATCTTATTTAGTTGCAACTAGGGACCGGGGGAATCTGAGAGATTAAAACAATCAAGTTTTGTAACACCAAGAAAAATATTAATTTATTCTCAAAATCAATAATTAAATTAAGAACAGTAGTGTGAATGTCGTGAATGATGGCCGATGAGGACACTAGAGGATTTATTAAAGTTTAACAATGGTACTTACCGGAATCCCATCTTCCTGTAGCCCGTTAGCCCGTAGCACAACTTTTTCGACTTTAACGCCCGAATTCAGATTTACAACTAACTTGAAAATTACGCTTTATCGATCCAAATCGATTCAGAAATGTCAGCAAAAAATCATTGACCTAAAACCTAGGTTGTTGGCTTTAAGTTTTTGCTGACTCTGAGTGCGTTTGCTTTATTTGATATAACATCCGAATTGCGCAACTAAATTGGGACATTATTAGTCAATGAACTTTGGTTAATTCGTATTGGAATAATAATGTTATAAAGGGTGATATTTTTTGGCTTGACATTTCCCTCGGACTACAGAAAGCTGGACTCCAGCGATAAAGATCTAAAAAAGAAGAAAGGAAAAAAAAAAAAAAATTAAATCATAGCGTTTAAAAAAAAATTCAAATATTTTAAAAGAAAAGAAAAGAATTAATTATAAAAACAAAGCAAAATTGATACAAGTTACAAGTACAATTTGATAAAAGTTAAAGTTAAAGCTAAAACCTAAAAGTTAAAAGTTAATGGTTACTAAACCCAATTAAATTCTCCTAAGTACCTACATTTTCTATTAATAATTCCTACAAAAAAAAATATATAATTTACAGAAACATACCTACACATAAAAAATACTTATGGAAAATTGAGTATACATTGAAAGAGAGAGAGAAAAAATTAAATAATAATATTGATTACCTTGCCAAAACGCTGAGAGAGAAAAAAAAATTAACAATTTTGATAAATAAAATTGAAGTGTGCCTTTTCCTGTTCTTTCCATTTGCTGATTCTTCCATTTGCTGATTTCTTCGTTTGACTGGTGATTTTTCTGACCGGCTTGCTGCTACTGCTAGCGGCGTCTGGTATCTGGCTTTGACGTAGCTTCCAAACCATTGAATGAACCAATTTGAATGCGTTGGATGTCATTGGTTGTGACCAATATGACCATATGGCTTTACCAGCACTGGTAACAAATGATGAGTTCGGGGTGCGGAGTATGTGGTATTTGACTTTGGTACACAACGTTCGATCAATAGGTGTTCGATCGATAGTTCCCGCCGAGCGCTAAGTTGCTTTGCGGACGACGGTGTTTATGCTTTAGTGGCCTGAACTTGACCTACATCCCGGTTAGCTTCTGGGTCATGTTATTTGTTTACTTTTGATGGTGCATTATAACTGATGCTACTGGCTTATAGTAAACTTTTGTGTCCTGAGATTAGGTTTAACATTTCCTAATCTTGGGCGGTGGTGGTTTTATTTCCCATGGTAAAGTGGAATGATGGTTAACACAACAGCATCTGGTCAATGTTATCGAGGTCTTTGCGTCTCGAATTTTTTGTTTGCTGTGCTGATACTCTGGAGTCTGGATCTTCAATGAACCATTTGGCATTGAATTGAATTGTCGGATTCAATGCGCCAGGTGCGTCAGGTATTGGAATAAATTACAGGTTTTTGTCCTGAACGTGTGTGCATCAATGTCGGTGGTCAATGTAGTGGTCTCCTGTTGAACGATCTTGGAGTCTTGATGTTGGAATGTGGAATCCTTATGGCAGGAAAAGCGTTGCGTTGGCAGGTATTTTACATGAAAAAAAAAAGAACAAAGTGTGAGTATGTGCTATTAATTGAGCTTATATCCTATAAATAAATGAAAACCTTAAACCAACTAAAAAATATTAATAAAAAAAAATGTAACCATTTTTAAATGTATAAGTATAAGGTAAAGAAACTTTGACTAAATATTTGCCGTAATAAGGCAAGGTGTACGCTTTATTTAATGCGTAGGTATTCAAGTTTATTTTCGTACAGAAAGGAAAAAAAATTAATGCGTTACTTCATAGTTCAAAATAGAGAAAAAAAAATAAATTATATTTTCTTATAATTTTGTCGTAGGATTTCTCAGAACAATCCGATCCAGTTGTATGCCCTTCTGTCCCCTACCTACGACCTTTTTTATAAACTTTATTATACATATTTATTAAACATCAGTTTGTATACTTTATATAATTATTATATATTTATTTATTCACGTCAGGCGCCTGCATAAAAATCTAGTGCATTTATCGTACTATTTACTCTGATATTTATTCTAATACCAATTTGTGCGCTGATGGCTTAGACTTAAATAAAAAAGCAAATCTTTTTGCACTAGTACGCGTAATTATATTTAGGTACCTATAATTTATTTGACAAATTCTTCAATATTTCAAAATTAATAAATTATTTCTTAAAAATCTGAGATAAGTAGGGCATACTTAAGTATCTCAGGAATACTCCCTTTATACGGGGCATTCAATCGTCTATTTTAACAAGCTCTATTTCAGCTTTTACTTTATCACCAGGGGACAGTGATCGGATGTCTTTATCGTCTATAATTTCAAGGCTATATCTTAAAGTATTATTCCTTTCTGATTTTAGAGTTATTTGAAAATTACCCTTCGAGGTCATTTCGTTAAGTTCTCTGTCTTGTGCGTAAGTCTCTTCATTTTTCTTTTCAATTGTTTGTCTGTCATTTCTGGGTTTCTTGGAGGTCCTTTTGTAGTAAAAATAAACAAGACGTAGTATCAGGAATAGAATGAATATCGTGAAGCAAGTATAAATGAGGCCCATTACTGCGTCATGTGTCGTGTTTGCGGTAATTTCTTGACCATTAGTCCTTGTGAAAAGTGGCGTAGTGAGTGTCACACTTGTGTTTTTGAATAATAGGTAAACAACTAGAAATGAGAGGACAATATTCCAGCATAGGAATAATGTGTCCGAATGGAATCCGTAAGTGTAACTATTAGAGTTCATTGGAATTGTTTGTCGAATTAGACTAATTATATTTTTCTCTGTTGTTTCACTTGAAGTTAGGTTAACGTGAGGTATATGGAGAGTCCAATTATTGTTGAGGCATTCCGACATGTTTTTATAAGTAGGTGAAAGGTAGTTGGATTTTGGATTCAAAACAAATGATTTTAATGTAGACCATGTTGCTGGGATAATGTGAGTTATTTGAGCGTCATACGACACCAAAAAGTCGGGGCATGGAAATCGTTTTGGAATGACTATGTCCGTTTCTGACTGTAATTGACAGTTACAAGGTAATTTCACCTTAATCGACCCTTGATGAGGATGCTCTGGGTTGAGTTTATAGGATTTATTCTCTCTGCACGTGACCTCCAACCCCTTTTTAGGGTGTGTCAACATATAAACTTCTTCAGATATTTCCGAAATTATCATTGATGTTGCTGAGTGACAACTCATTGGACAGTATTGGGCTAGTTGCTGGACAGTTGTGCCCTCATACAACTTTCTAGCACACTCTGGACCTTGGATGTTGTCTGCTGAGAATCGAGGTATATAGCATAGTTGGCTATGATACGGTTTACATTGATGAAGACCTGCTCCTGAAATTTGCCTCATTTCGTCTCTATTCTCCACTGTCGATGAAACCGCCATGTAGAGTGGCTGGTGTGTTATCGTGCAAGTCTGATTGAACCATGCGAACGGTGTCGTAATTAATTCATATAGTTT